CAATCTGCTGATCGACTGTCACGAACCCATTTTGACTGCCGAGTGGACAGCGACTGAGGGCGGCTTGTGGAGGATTTAAGAAACTCACGCCGTTGTTCCAGCAGATCGAATGGAACTGGCAACCTCTCAACCGCCAGTCCAGTGTGCTAACCATTGCAGCGGCAACATTGCATTGAGGACAAAGACACTTATTCGCAATGTTCCTGCAGGACTTAATCAGCATGATGGACACAGGGGCCGACCAGGCGAGCTTTGTCTAAGAGGTCGATCATGGGAATTTGTCGCCATGCGAGATGCGACTCTGTGAGCACCTGATGAATGCTCCGGCTGACACCGATGTTGGGCTCCATCACATTTGTTCTCACCAGGGCCCTTGGCCGACATATTGCCTCTTCTTCAGTTACACCCACACTAGAAATAAACTCGTAAAAAATCCACATTTTCTTGGTAATCTGGTAACGCACGTCGAGCATGGATCTCAGGTTGAGAGGCTTTCGCAGCAAGATATTTGGCGACTATATAAAGCCTACGTGTTAAACAAACCCCCACTGCCCAACTCGATCTACACTTGTATTTATTGACAATATATGTCCCACGATACCCAACCAACTGTGATGTGATCATCAAGCTCACTCATGAAAAACATTCCATTATCCAAACTCAAGCATAAAACTCCAGGGTGCTCTTCGTATTGATTGCACGTGATCATTTCTTCACGATGTTTGGTCAGTGCAGGAGAAATCTATCGGTTCACACTGCAGTGCCTGCCCCGTCTCTCCATTGCAAGTGCAGTGCATAATACTTTGACCCCGACGATTACACAAGGGGAGAATTCAAATCACAGTCGAAAGTTGACGTATTTTTCACGTCTCCTAGGTTGCTTAAAATGACTACAATTTTGTGGGAAGTCAACAGCGGTAATGCTATGGATAAGCTAGCTCCCTGTCATGGGCATGCGTCTCAGCTAGGAGACATATTGACTTGATTTTAATGATACATCTACAGACAAATGCCTATCCAGGAAAGCCTCACAGAATTGTAAGACTCCTTTTCATGAGGATCCTGCATTGAGATGTTTGGCCAATTCCAGTCATGAACCTGGAGACACCCCACACATGCATACAAGGAAATAACACTCAAGGCTCTGCACAAATGGTTTCAAGAATCACTGCTGTTGCAATGTCTCCTGGCCAATGTCTTGGCATTCCAAGACAGTGCCAACGATTACACCACATCTAATACATTTGTATGAGACGTCATTATACAAGGCTACTGAAATCTGTAATCGTGGCTGCATTGCCAATGAAGGCACGCGTTTCCAACAAACTTTTTTTAATCAGGATATCATGTGGCATACATGCACACGTGCAGTCAATGTTGAGGCACAACTTTATCACGCTTCCACGTCACGGGCAGACTATTAATGTGATGCCATTTGCGACTCTGGACACGTCTGTCAACAGATAATAGCAAATGGGACCAACTCCAGAGAGACCGTTTAATGTGATGTTGTAGAAAATGCCAAGTAATTTTCACACTTTTCACGAGTGTTATTAACCAAAGGCACTTATTTTCTTTACCACTGCAATCCACATCAAAGAGCCTCATTGCCGAGAGCAAACTTTCCAAGTGATAATGATAGCCAGAGTTTTTGTCAGTTGCGTAATAGTACACCACTCCAGACAATGCATTCGTGCGTAGTCCTCCCCTCTTCCGGAATTGTGAGATATTCTTATTCCCATGTTTCCTGTTTTTTTGTACCTAAGAGGTAGCAGCCACCCTACCTATGGACCATGAAGGAGAGCTCAGCACCAGTGACCAATTCTACTATTATGACCCCATGTCCCCAAAAGCAGCCGTGGGGAACCTATGGCCCACGACTTAATTTCTGATGACCTACGGTCACATGAGGTGAACCAATTCTAAAAGGCTCACAAACGCTATTTATCCCGTCACTACAAGAATCTCAGTCGCACTAAACGGGTATTAGAGGGAAATATTTTGACCAGGTGACCATGTGTTTATGATTTTAGTACACTCAGTCACTCATGCCACTGTATGAACCTCTTGCAGTGACAATGGAAGAGTGTGCTATTGTGTTGCCCGCCAAAGGTGTTTGAAATTCCTCACACAGATATTTAGTAAATATTAGGAGCCACTTCTCTGAGTTAACCAATTTGTTATTCAATAAACCAAACTACTTAACCACTTCCTGTAATTATGAAATGAATATGCTTGTGAAGTGTGCACACACTAACATCAGGCAGAAACGGATCCCTGTTCTCTGCAGGAATTTAATTTCAAAATAAAATGCACAAATACTAGAGCCAAGACGTACTTACACCGCCGGTTGGTCACTTGTGGGTCCTGACCTTGCAAATGCCACAAATTGTTTGTTTCCGCATTGCTTGTCCAATAATTATAAAAGGCACTTGTGTGTTCAAATACGCAGTCTTTTAACAGAATGCCACCCTGCTTATACCCGAGCTTATTGGACATGCAACAAATACATCGGTACTTTTACTTCCATTGCGATGTTTCGTCTTGTATTCCCGGTGCATTGTCGGTGCCATGTCGTGAGAGTTGGAATCCAATCGGACATCTCACACAGCACTGCTAACCCACGTGCTCGATCACGGGAGAATTTCACCGAACTTTTGAGATAAAAAAAAACCTCTCAAGTGCATTTTAATCAGCACACAACAGGCAGCGCACTTTCCCACACACTCATGCAAATAAATAGTGAGACCATCAACTGAGTATACCTGAGAAGCATGGCTTAGTCAGAGAGGGCTGCCCGGATTCAAACCCAGGATGTCAGCTACGTCAACGCAGTGCTCCGACCTCTGAGTCATGCCGACACCTCACATACACAATGTTATTTTAGCGCGAGTCCTTCCATCCTCGTTTCACTTGGTTAGGGGCCACGTGTGATGCGAGGTAATGGATGATTCATTGTTTAGTGAATTGCTGGATGGAAATTCATTACGCATAAATGAAGAGTAATACTCTTCAAAAGGGTTTTATTTGCTAACAAAACAGTAATGTAACAGAAAAAAATATTAATAAAACAAACATCTTGAGTAGCTGTTTTTAGTGTCGCACGATGCACTGAGCATGGCTGATATTGGTTGGCTATTAAAATTCACATCACGCACACGCAGACACAACGGTTTGCACACAAGTCTCTGATTGCCATCGAAATCTTCATGATTAATGGAAGAAATAACCAGACAATTATTGACTTGATCGTCCTATACACAGCGACAAAGTTAATTAGTCGATGTTGCACTGCTCCATTAAGCTGGGCAGGGGGAGGGGGGCGGGGGGGGCTGGACGCGGCTAAGAGACACCCACTACATTTCTGTGATTTTCTCCTTCTCCACCAAGGTGACGTGGATTATCTTGAGGACGGAACCTTTAAGTCCATACATAGTAGTGCACAAACAACAGCATCAGTCAAATTTCGATTTAAAGCTTTCGTGACTGCAATGATTCATCTTCTTTGGTTCTTTCGGTAAAGTCACGTAGAATGAGAATAAAATAATAAATTGATAAAATAAAATAACACAATAATATTCTCTGTCCTACCAGACAGTCTCGTCCCTTCACCTGATGAAGACCGCTTGTGTTGTGGCTGAAACGTCGTGAGAATATTATTGTGTTATTTTATTTTATCAATTTATTATTTTATTCTCATTCTATGTGACTTTACCGAAAGAACCAAAGAAGAACAGCATCAGTCCTTTGTTGGTATCCAGTAGTTGCTTAAATTTAATACATTTAGACAAACTTATTGTGAGTTAAATTTCGATTTAAAGCTTTCGTGACTGCAATGATTCATCTTCTTTGGTTCTTTCGGTAAAGTCACGTAGAATGAGAATAAAATAAATAATGTGCAGCATTATGGGTAAAAGGGAATTCAATGCTGCTGGATAATCTGATGGACTGAAAAAAGTTAATTTGTATGTGGTGACATAGAAGAGAGTAATTCGAATATACTCGGGGTTGTTGGGCGTGCCTATGGCGCCCCTCACAACCATTTACGGCCTTCGGCCAGGAAAGTCACAAAACAATTTCACACGAACGACGAATTCACGCAAGCACCCGATGCTCCGTTGTGAAGTTTTAAAATGAAACATCTTTGAATTGTATTATGTTTTGGATTAGATAATTGTATTTCTTCATTAAAAGCTTATATCATTTTACATCTGGAAGACTTAATTGAAAAGGACATTTCGTGTGAATTTTCTCTCGTCGTTAAGTAGATGGCCTTGCTGGGGGTTCGGTTCGATGCGGACTGTCACCCGCTTGGGATTGCGGGATCGAGATAAGGAGACATCGAGCTGCTGGCCGTGCGAGAAGACCGCCGTCTGTACATAGATTCTAACGTAATCGAGCGTCTGTCCCTGCGCCTCCGTCGTTCATGCAGGGGACACGTGGGTTTGCAGCGCCCCCTGCATGAAAACGATGGAAAGTGCAGCGTTCATCACAGATAAAGTTGTGCGCATATATAAGAGAAAAATTTAATATGAACTATAGCACAGCAGAACCACTCTGATTTCTGACAAAACACCGAGGAACATTTCATGCGTCTGTAATCCAACCAACAACCACCGAGAACCGTTCTCGAGTGCAGAGGTGGCCAACCTGAAACAGACCAAGAGCCAAAAACTAACCACGAGTTCTGCAAAGAGCCAAGTGTATACATGTATGTGGACATATATATGTGTGTACATGCACATATATATGTATGTGTGTACATATACATGTATGTGTGTACATATATATGCATGTGCGTACAGATTGACAGTTTCGGCCCAACACGGGAGACGTACACATTGCTACTGCTGCGATGGCGGTGTTCTACGTCACGCGGTGGATTAAAGAGCCACAGGCAGCTCGGGGGACGCCGGGTGGCCACCGCTGCTCTCGCAGGATGCCCCTGGGAGAGAGGCTCCATCTTTTTGTTTCAGCGTCTCCATCGCCAGCCAACTCACCGTGTTGTTCTTCTCCATGTTGGCCACACTCTTGCCAAATATGGTTCCCAGCTGGTCGCCCACACCAGCCAGCAGGAAGCCGAAGAGGGGGATCCCGAGCAGAGCGTACACGACGCAGAATATGCGGCCGCCCTTGGTGCTGGGAGCAATGTTCCCGAACCCTGAGGGCGACACGGGAACACAGTACGAATCACATGCCACGACTGAGAAAAACAAGTGTCTGAGAGACAGAAAGAGGAACACGTGAAGCAGAGTACTAGTGAACATCAGGAGTAGGGTGGGCATGGACAGGACGCAACGCCACGAACGGATGATGATGATGGCCAATGGAAGAGACTGGTGATGGAATGGCAGTCAGAAGAGGGATCGTGATCGAGAGTACGTCGACTGCAGAGATGGAGCAACGGGACGGTGTCACGTGCAGGCGCATCATGGATTATTGCATTGCGGGGACCATGGGGGGGGGGGAGGTGGTGGCAATGACTTCATCCAGCAGTGGATCGAACACGGCTTGTTGCTGCTAAAGCGTACAAGGCAGCTGGGTGGCTTCAGGGACGAGTGCTGGTGTCCGAAAAGTAGATCCTAAGCCAGGGCTACCGAGATCCCGAGTTGACATTTGGACATCTACCAAAAACTAAACTCCCTTAACTTATCTGAGCGGTGGTGGCACACGTGGCCTGTCATGCAGAACTGTGGAGGCAGCTAGGGTTGGTGGATCACACAGACGTCAAGACACCCCCGAGGTGCCATATCCATTTGCTGTACTGCCAGAAAGAAGGCAGTACCGCAAATGTGGGCCGCACGTGTTCAGTCTGTATGGGGCAGAGAGCTGCCTCAACCCCCCACCCCCACCCCCCCTACCCCCACCCCCCCTACCCCAACACCTCCCACCCACACGCGTGGACTTTCTCCGGGTTTTCCACTTTCCTTCCACATGTAATGACTCCTTCATTGGCAAAAAGAAATCCTTCATATATATGTAGTACCACAGAGTTTGGGTGACCGTGTCACACTGTGTGTCATCGTCGTCGTCGTCTTCCCGCTTGTCTGTGATTCCTCGGTGCACCTCCGATTCGTTCTCTCTCTTTGGGAGCGAGCGAATACTGTGCGGCTAGCTGCACGTTAACTGTGCAGTATTATTTTAATTTCTCTCTCAATGCTATCAGCTGCGCATGGCTTGGAATGTTCAATTGAAGAGGGTGGGTGACAGGAACTCATTAATGTTTTATCAAAACTAACAATAATTTCGAAATCATCCCTATAATGCATGAAATTTCATCTTCTCTTCAATGCAAGTAGGGTTTTTTTAAACTTCTTTCTAAAAAAAACAAGCGAGCTCCTGAGTTTTACAATGGTCACAGCAGGTATTAGTTTAAGTCGGTGTTAATTGCACGGCTGATAATTTCACGTTAATTTTGACACAATCGTTATGGGCATCACTCACGGGAAACATTTTAGATTAACAAAACGTACACTTAATTGGAAAGGTTAATGTAATCACTGGTAATGTGATCACAGTTTTTTGTTACTCCCAGGGTATTTCCAAAGAACCAAATCACTCGGATGGTGTCCGATCTTGTCAGATCTCAGAAGCTAAGCCGGATTGAGGCAAGGAAAGAGTAGGGATTGGTGACCGCCATGCATACAAGGTGTTATAGGCTATTGGGCTGTGGTGGGCAGGACAACACAATCTATTCCAGCAGAGGTACGCCACTTAAATGTTCTCACGTTTGCACTGCTCGAATTCACCACCCGACACGGCACCAATGGAGTGAAGTATGGTTAAACGCCACCCTTTACGTCATACACGGTCTGGGGAGGATATCGTGCAGAGGTGCATTGACCAGAGGGCTTGCACGCACCTCTATAGAATAATAATAAGAACAATACAGCTCTCTTTAATATTCACTGTGTTGGCTGTTTTATATAGAGTGTATGTTCTAGATGGGGCACGTGTTGCCTGCTCTATATAGAGTGTATGTTCTAGATGGGGCACGTGTTCTACATAGAGTGTATGTTCTAGATGAGTCACGTGTTCACTGTTCTATATAGGGTGTATGTTCTAGATGGGTCACGTGTTCACTGTTTTACATACAGCGTGTGTTCTAGATGGGGCACGTGTTCACTGTTCTATATAGAGTGTATGTTCTAGATGGGGCACGTGTTGCCTGCTCTATATAGAGTGTATGTGCTAGATGGGGCACGTGTTCACTGTTCTATATAGAGTGTATGTTCTAGATGGGGCACGTGTTCACTGTTCTATATAGAGTGTATGTTTTAGATGGGGCACGTGTTCACTGTTCTATATAGAGCGTGTGTTCTAGATGGGGCACGTGTTCACTACTCTATATAGAGTGTATGTTCTAGATGGGGCACGTGTTGACTGCTCTATATAGAGCGTGTGTTCTAGATGAGACACGTGTTCACTGTTCTATATAGAATGTATGTTCTAGATGGGGCACGTGTTCACTGCTCTATATAGAAAATGTGTTCTAGATGGGGCACGTGTTCACTGCTCTATATAGAGTGTATGTTCTAGATGGGGCACGTGTTCACTGCTCTATATAGAATGTATGTTCTAGATGGGGCACGTGTTCACTGTTCTATATAGAGTGTATGTTCTGGAGAGTGTGTTCTAGAGCGTGTATTCTAGAGTGTATGTTCTAGAGCTCTAGAACATACACTCTATATAGAGTGTATGTTCTTGAGCGTGTGTTCTGGAGCGTGTGTGTTCACTGTTCTATATAGAGTACCTGTCTGGGTATTTTGTACCATCGGACACTCCACCCCCACAACTCCCAATCGGTGATGGGGCAGTTGTGGAGAGAGTGGAGAGTTTCCCATACCTGGAAAGTGTGCTTATGACTGGCTCCAGTTTAACAGCAGAGGTCTCACTCCGAATCAGTCGAGCGGCAATATCTTTTCATCAGTTGCGTAACGCTGTGTGGAAGCTACCTGGTCTGTCGCTTCGCATTAAGCTTCAGGTCTTCTCGGCCACGGTAATTCCCTCCCTTCTCTACGCTTGCGAAACGTGGACCCCCCTAATGGAACATCTTCGCCGGTTAGAAACATTTAGGCTGGCCTGCCTATGATCCATCCTGGGTTTAACCAGACTGGATTGTGTGAGGAGCTCACAAATCCTTGAAAGATCTGGGCAAGGTCCCATCGGTGAGCTCCTCCGGCAGGCAAGGCTGCGATGGCTGGGTCATGTAGCCCACATGCCCAGCCACCGCATGCCGAAACAGCTTTTGTTTGGCCGGATCGAGGGGGCTAAGCGGGCGCGGCACGGGCTAGAGAAGAGATGGAGTGATGTGGTACAGGAGGACGTAGAGCTGAGTGGACTTGCCGATGACTGGTACCAGCGGTGTCAAGATCGGCCTCTGTGGAGGAGGCTCGTGAAGGACGCTACTGGGCAGTTGGAGGTAGTCGCCCTCCAACAACAACGGAGGGCGGAGGAGCGATGCTCACAACAACGAGCGGAGCGCCGGGTGGCTAAAGCACAGCAGATTGGCACAGTAGGGGGCACAGGTGGTGCATCAGCCAGTCATCTCAGTCAGTCGACCCATGGCACCTGGGTCTGCCCCGTGACCTCCTGCCAGCGGGCGTTCGACACTCCACGTGGCCTCAAGGTGCACATGTCCTGGCACAAGCGTCGTGGTGACGTCACCGCCACTTAGTGGCGAATGGCGGTTGTTGTTGTATATAGAGTATGTTCTGGAGCGTGTGTTCTGGAGCGTGTGTTCTAGAGCGTGCGTGTTCAATGTTCCATATAGAGTGTATGTTCTGGAGCGTGTGTTCTGGAGCGTGTGTTCTGGAGCGTGTGTTCTGGAGCGTGTGTTCTAAAGCGTGTGTGTTCACTGTTCTATATAGAGCATATGTTCTGGAGCGTGTGTTCTGGAGCATGTGTTCTGGAGCGTGTGTTCTGGAGCGTGTGTTCTGGAGCGTGTGTTCTAGAGCGTGTGTTCTAGAGCGTGTGTGTTCACTGCTCTATATAGTGTATCTTCTGGAGCGTGTGTTCTGGAGCGTGTGTGTTCACTGTTCCATATAGAGTGTATGTTCTGGAGTGTGTGTTCTGGAGCGTGTGTTCTGGAGCGTGTGTGTTCACTGTTCTATACAGAGCGTATGTTCTGGAGTGTGTGTTCTAGAGCGTGTGTGTTCACTGTTCTATATAGAGCATATGTTCTGGAGCGTGTGTTCTGGACCGTGTGTTCTAGAGCGTGTGTGTTCACTGCTCTATATAGAGTATATGTTCTGGAGCGTATGTTCTGGAGCGTGTGTTCTAGAGCGTGTGTGTTCACTGCTCTATATAGAGTATATGTTCTGGAGCGTATGTTCTGGAGCGTGTGTTCTGGAGCATGTGTTCTGGAGCGTGTGTTCTAGAGCGTATGTTCTGGAGCATGTGTTCTGGAGCGTGTGTTCTAGAGCGTTCGTGTTCACTACTTAATTTTATGTCACAGGGACACGTTCTTTTTTAGAGGTTTCTGAACCGTGACTCTCCGATTGAAATATCTACTGTAAATGTAATTTTAATTCATTTTAACACAGGTTTGAACTCGGATAACCCCACTCTTACGGGTTGGTGCCAATGTAGAGTTGATTATGAAGGTGACAATGTGTGTAGATTTATCAAGAAACTTTAAGCTTTAAAGATAATAGCTTTGAGATTTAAATATCCGGTCTCGTGAACAAACTTTTTTTTTCAGGGCACGTCCATTACTCTACCGTCTGAGTTAACAGCAATACTTCCATTAACACTACATTTCGAAAAGTTATTTGATCAGAGAATAGTGTAGTTATTTTAAAATATTGCTCGCCAATGTGTGTACACAATTACACCAGACATTACAGCCCCATTATATAAAAAGCTGGTGAACAAACAGCGACTGTTCAAGGCAACGATATGATCAGTCAAGCTCATGCGGCTTAAACACACACATTTTGCTTGCCAAGCTAGAGATGGAGCAGAAAAAACATTTGCCTGTGGTTCTAAGTTCAAAAGGGTTCTGTTGGGTGTGAAATAGTTCAAATTGACTCTGAGATAAGCTCCAAACTCAGCCCTTGCCTGCCTGCCCTGCTGTGCCAACAGCAACTTAGCACTGGTCAAGCATGCATTGGGTTGTAGTTGCCTCTGCGGATAGATCTTCTATCTGTCTGACAACGT